AGGCCACATATTGCCTGCTGCATTTATATGCAAAGCCCTGTATACACAATCCATGGAGAGATTAGTGGTCACAATCAGTGGTTGCCAGGGACTGGGATGGAGGAAAAAGAGGAGTGACTCATGGGGTTTCCTTCTCGGGTGATGAAAATGTTCTAGAATAGATGGTGGTGACAGTTGTATGATACTGTGAATGTACTGAATGCCACTGAATTGTACACTTTAAAAAAGGGAAAAAAGCTGGGCATGATGGTTCACGACTGTCATCCCAGAGACTCAGGAGGCTGAGGCAGGAGAATCTCAAGTTCAAAGCCAGCCTCAGCAATGGCAAGGCTCTAGGCAACTCGGTGAGACTCTGTCTCTAAATAAAATACAAAATAGGGTTGGGGATGTGGCTCAGAGGTTGAGTGCACCCTAGTTCAATCCCTGGTACCCTCCCCCCAAAATGGTGAAAAAAATGTGGATATTCCAGAAAAATGACTGGAACAATAAACTATAAACTATTAGCAACTATTTGGGGGTAAACAGTAGTTGTGACTTTTTACTCTCTCCTTTTTTCTTTTTGTACTACCTGAAAACTTTATAATAAGCATCTTTTTCATTAATAATAAGAGTGAAAAAAAACACAATAAGCTGGTTTTATTTTAGAAATCAGGAAGGAAAAGACAGAAGAAAGGAATGGAAGAAAGGGAGGGAAATCCCTGACCTCACCCCCTCTTCTCTCCTCCACTTGGAGATGTACCCAGGTTTGCATCAGGATGGGAGCTGGGAGGGTTTCTAGAAAGGGCCTTCAGGCCAGGGATGGGGTCACCAGCCAACAGAACTTTTTGTGTGTTCCATGGAAGATCCTCAAGGCATATTGTGTAAAAACAAAATTTAAGACAGAGTACCACAATTAAGTGTGATGCACACCACACACACACACACACACACACACACAATCACTAAAGGGGGCACACACATATGTTTGCAGATGCAAAGAGACTCTGCCCAAATGAGTAAAAACTAGCAAGAATGTTTTTTACCAAGGAAGGCAACTGGGTAGTTGGGAAACGGAGAGGGAGAGAAATAGACTTTTCCCTGTATAAACCATCTCTCTGCCTTTTGACTTGGTAGTACGAATTTAGTACTTTCCAAGGGATATATTTTTTCCTGCGTTATGTTGTAAAGCAAGTTTCTGAATCATAAGATCAAAGATATTTAAGGGAAATATATTACTTTTTTTTTTTTTTGGTTTCTGTCCTGTTTTGTATTTACCACATTTTTATAACAATTGACATTACTTGACAGGTAAAAACAGCAAATATTTCTTAGCACACTGGAACAACCAGAAGTGTTTAAAGTAAAAACAAAACGTTCCTTCCAGCTTACGTTCAAATGGAAAATATATTTATTAGAAAAAGTATTTTAAAATAAATATAGGCATCACAGAAATAAATTTTCTATAATGTGTCTATTATTTTATGTAGGAAAAGGTCCCTGATTAACGGAGCTTTAAACATAAAGCTAGGAGTTTGGAGCAGCTGGTAAAGCAGTGATAGCCTGACCTTGACCTTCATGGAGTCCCCTCTGGCCCTGCTCTCTGCAGCCTCCTTGGCACAGACCCTGGGCCCTGCCTGTCCCGCTGCCCTCACGGGCCCTGTGCGGCCTGCCAGGTCCAGCCCTCAGGACTCCCTGGGCAGAGGCAGGGCGGGACAAGGGCAGGGGGCTTTCAGATTTCTGCTGGGGGTGCAAGGGCTATTTTGAAGCTCTGTTTATTTAGCAAACATTGTATTTTCACTTTGATAATATATTATAGTCCAATAAAAATAAAATTTTCAAAAGAAATTGTTATTCATGGTTTATGTTGGGTTGAGCAAACATTATTTGTCCATGTTAAGGAAGGGGTTGGACAGGTGGGGGGAGCCAGATGGAGGTGGAGAAGTGGGCCAGCTCCTGAGTCACCCTCTCTGGCCCCATGATGTGCATGCAGTGAGGTTTGACTGCCCAACCCCTCCCTAGAGGAATGAGGGAAGCACAACCTCCCAGCCTCTTGGGCCCAGTGGTGCCATTGGAAGACCTCCTGTGGCTGCCCCAGGATCTGGGATTCGGAACCTTTCCCCATCTTGGCTTCTCTGCTCTGTTATTTCCTGCACATGTCAGAGGTGACACTAGGTCAATGAAAGTGGGCCAGTCAGGAACTTGCCAAGGTCTTTGGGGGCTGCTCCAGCCAGGCCCTTACTGCTCCCAGTAGCTCTTCTGCTGCCTGGAATCCTCCCCCACTCTCTGAACCATCCTTTTGCATTATCAATTCTCCATTTCTATTTTAATTAATTAATTAATTTGGTACTGAGGATTAAACCCAGGGGTACTTTACCACTAAGCTACATCCCCAGGCCTTTGTTAATTTTTTAAATTTTGAGACAGGTTCTCACTAAGTTGTTGAGGGTCTTAATAAGTTGCCAAGGCTCTTACTAAATTGCCAAGGCTGGCCTCGAACTTGGAATCCTCCTGTCTCAGGCTTCTGGGATTAGAGGCATGTATCACCATGCCTGGCATGCATTCCCATTATAAAACAACAAAAAAAGTTCATATCCCCCCTCTGAATTTCTACTGTATTTCTACTGTTAAAAGTAGACATAACCCATCTCACTCCCCACCAAAGAAGTCACACAAATGCCAGGCATGGTGGCAACACGGGAGACTGAGATAGGAGGATTCCAAGTTCAAGGCCAGCCTCCACAACTTAGTGAGATCTTCTCAAAATGAAAAATATAAAGAGCTGGAGATGTAACTCATTGGTGGAGAGCCCCTGGGTTCCATCTACTGTACCTCCAAAAGTCATACAACCTAGGAGAAGCTCCATAGTATTTTCGAAAATTTCATTGAAGTCTTTAAAAATAAATCAGTTTTTTTTTTATCTACTCGTGACATTTCATACATTAATTTTGATCCTTTTAAAAGCATCTTAACAGAAACCTATTTTTCATGCTGCTAACAGTATGGCTTTGATGTGTTTTTAGCTATGTAATCTTGGTCAACCTCTCTGTGTGCTAGTTTCCTTATCTGTAGAATGGGATATAACACCAGTATCTACTTTATGGGACTCCTGAAAGGATTCAGTGAGATAATGCAGGTAAAATGCTTTTGCCAACAATCTGATGCAATAAACGCTAGCAATCCGTACGTTGCTAACATAGACATTTCATTTTGCTGCTAGCACAAATAAGGCCACATGAACCACCACTTTGTCTAGAGCCTTGTCCAGATTGAAACTCATTCCTTACACCAGTTTTCCAGAAATGAAAATGCTGCAGCAAAGGGGTCCGGATCTCTTTAAAGTTCTTGATCCAGATGACTATTGACACTCCTGTGAGGAGAAGGAGAATTCTGTTTTAAGTGTAAATCTGTTGTCTGGGGGCAGGAAATTGAGTCTCTTTCCCTCCAGCGTACACAACTCTAATGAGTATGAAGTTAGAGGGCTTCCCTCTCCAAGCAAACCCGAGTGTGATAAGGCCTCTTGACGTCATACCGGTATTTGCTGGAATAACCCTGAGAATGGAGTTTCACTCTGTCAAACTAGAGCAAGGATCTCGCCCAAGGTGTGGTGAGCAGTAATCAATGGCTAATGGCTGGAGCTGACTTTTGTCCTCTTGGTCATAAAAGACCTTTGAATTGCTTGGCCACTTTTAAATTTCTCAGGAAAAATGATAACATAAGGGCCAAAGTTCATACCAGTTGGCAGGGCTGCCTCTCCCCAGCACACACGAGGCTGGAGGGAGAGGAGATGACCACAGTCCCATGAGTGTTGGGCTGGGCTCATTGGGATTGGAGTCACTGGGGTAGGAGATGTTTTCCTATTGATTCTCCTGCATATCACGCCACAGAACATATCGCCATGCTTTGTTTAGCTACCAGTCCCACAAAACTGAAGAGTGTTAAACTTGACACATGGTAGACAGAGGACTCAGAGGACTCGGTCAGCCCTGATGTGAAGGACACAGATCAAAACCACGCTTGTCGCTCCCGGATTGCTACCCAACCTCCCCTCTACATTTCCCAGAATGACTGAATCAAACCTTCCAGTCCCTGAGTCTGGACATCTGCATTTCATCCAGCTCTTCAGAAGATCTTATCATCTAGCCAGCTTAGGCAGGGAATATGCTGACCTATACATCTGAATATCAGCTCGGCTCTCCTCTGTGCTCAGATAAGGTCCTCAGCTCCCAAACTTCAGACTCAAGCTTCAGCTCTTAGGCTGCAGTCCACCTGTGCAGATCCCCCTCCAGCTCTTACCAGCACCACTCACCACCCCTGCAGCCATTCTGAGCAGTGCCTGGTGCCTGGACAGGCTATGGGCCTTTAGAGAGCCACCTTGTTCTTCCTGTTCTGTGAACTTGAACTCCTTCCCGACACTAATGCTCCAACTCCACAAATAATTTCCACATATTTGTGAATCTCCCAAATTTCTGTCATTCATTTTGAATTTCACTCCATTGTTACCAGGGAACATACTTTGTATGGTTTCAGCCCTTTTAAATTTACTGAAATTTGTTTTCAATTTGTTTTTCTCCAGGTCTAGCCTGGAGAATGTCCTGTGTACACTAGACAAGAATGTATGTTCTACTTTGGTTAATTGGAGTGGTCGAGAGATGTTTATGAGGTCGAGCTGGTTTATAGCATTGTTCAAGATTTCTGTTTCCTTGTTGCTCTTCCGTGCCTCATATAACTTTATCTCTTTGATGGAATAGAAAGCAAATGCTTCTATGAAAATCGATTTCACTGCCCTTTAGAGATTCAGTTTGGGAGTCCTAACTATCAAGTTTGACTATCTGTACAAACTTAATCACTTTTATGATCCCTGGGTTCACCTAGCATATGAAATATTGGTTAAGGCTTAGAATGCAAAATCTCAATGAAAGGAGCACTCCACTACTTGATGCTCTCTGGGCATGTGATTCCAAAGGGAGGTTCTAGATAAGCCAACACTGGATCCACTCATCCGTCCATCCATTCTTCTTGCTTCTATCCACTGTTCACCTTCCCGTCCCTCATCCCTTCTCTCACTACCTCCTCTCATTTTCTCCCATTATTCCTTCCTTTCTGTCCTCTATCTACTCTTCCACCCATTTTCAGCAATAAAATATCAGACAGAACTCACTACCTGAAATGCCCGAGCTCAAGGTGTTGGAAAAAGTCTTGTGGTGGTGAATTGGAGTGAAGAACCCTGATTTCAAACCTTCATTTCCCACCCAGGAATCTGCAGAGTGTCTAATGTGCTCCTTCACTCACAAACTCTTATAAAATACCTGTTATGAGCCAAATATGGTGCTTGGCATTCATTGGGAGTGAATAAGACCTGGTCTTATTTTCAGGGTCAGAAACAGATAGATAGTCCAAAAGCACCATGGTATGGTGGTAAATGCTCCATTGAGCCTTGAAGGATGAGTTTTGTTGTTGTTGTTGTTGTTTTGTTCTGAGAATCAACCGAGCAATAGCATATGAGATTGTGAAAATGTAAAAATATCACAGAGAAGGAATGATGTTTATTATTAAGGTACTCTGGTAAAAATGGTTTCCTCGAATAACTGGCCAGTGTAGGAAAGGTCTTTGTCAGAAGCATTAGCAAACCTCCATGCAGGCTTTAAGACTGTAAGACAAGGTTGCTATGGTGGGAGTCAGGAACCCCCAAAGCCATGAGCCAAGGAAGGGGAGTTCTTCAGAGCCTGGACTTTGTTGTCAGACTCACTGGGCTTCTTCTAGTCACTTGTTGTCCTTGTACTCACCTGTGGAATGGGAATGATAATGCAAGAGGATTAAGTGAGATGGAAGTTGTTGGAGTTGGTAGCTCATAGAAAGTGTTCTGTAAATTGTTGGTAGCTCATAGAAAGTGTTCTGTAAATTCCAGTTGCTACGGTCATGGGAAAAGAATTCAGAAACAGGTGCTTCAAGGTGGCATGGATTTATGTTTTCCTCCTGAAAATATGCTTTTTATCTGCCACCAAGAAACCAGATATAAAGACCGGTGCAGTGGCATACACCTGTGATCCCAGTGATTTAGGAGGCTGAGGCAGGAGGATTGCAAGTTCAAAGCCAGCCTCAGCAAAAGCGAGGCACTAAGCAACTAATTGAGACCCTATCTCTAAATAAATATAAATAGGGCTGGAGATGTGGCTCAGTGGGTGAGTGCCTCTGAGTTTAACTCCTGGTACACCCCCTCCCCACCAAAAAAAGAAACCAGATATATAACCTTGAAGAAATGACTTGGTTTTTCTTAGCCTTTATTCTTTCTTTTTAGTGAAATCTCTTAATATTATCATGAGAAAAGCAAGATCTTTGAAAATTATGACATATTTCATTATCTCAGTATTGTTCGTCATGGAGATGTAGGAGACTGGAAATGGCCTACATGTCCAAAAAGAGGAGAGTGTTAAATGAATAATAGGATTTCTCTCAATGAACTTGTGAGCAGTGAAGAATTAAAGTCCCATGAAAACTAATATTTTTTTCCTCTTATTCAGTGATGAGTCCCTCAGCGCCCAAAACAATGCCCACCATTTAACGCTCAGCATTTATCAAAGGACTGAATGGGTAAGTGAGGAACAATTAACTTCCAAGGGGCATCCCGCCTGGCTGTTGTTTTGCTGCATGGGGTAGAGTAGAATGGAATAACTGGGGGTTGTTTGGGGAGGTTAGGGTGGGGAGCAAGGAACTCAGACCTTAGAGAAATGGCTAATGAGTGGGATGTTTACAGGTGCTTATTGGATGGTGACCATTTTAACTCTTTCCCCTGTGGCCCACAAAGTGTCCAGTAAATACACAGCGCCTGGCAGCTCTTTGGGACTGGATCTATGTCTTTGGAGGGTGAAATGAAATACAGAGACTGGCCTCAACTGGAGAATACCCAGGGGCATCCAATCACATCAAGTGTCATTTAATGATGCGGAAAGATGTTGACAATATATTGTTAAAAGAAAATAATCGGGTACAGAAGAGGATATGCAATTGCAATCCCATTTTGGTTAAAATAGAAAAACATCTGCTCATGTCTGGATTGTAAGATTGAGGTTTTTTTTCTTTCTTTTTGATTATTCATGCTTTATACTTTTCTTTAATCAACATCTACTGCTTGTGTGAATCTGAAAATAATGTGAAATGTTGGATGAGCTTGAGCTGTCCTTATTGGGTTTGACTAGCTGCTAAAGAAATTGAGCTTGAGGTCAACCCACATTGTCAAGGTAAAGCCAAGACAGAGTGACCCATTGATTTATGGCCAGTTCAGTGACCTTTCCACTTGACCAGGAAGAAAACACTTCCCAGTAGTGTTTACAGTGCCTCAGACACAGAGCATCAGAGAGATCTGAGACACTGGGCCAGGCCTTCTCCTCCTCGATCCTTTTTTCTAGATTCCAGAGAACATGCATCCTCTAGGAGAGTCTCCACGGTTCTAAGTGCATTCCCTCTTGTCCTGTTTCAAAGGACACTCACCAGACTTTCTTTTGCACTTCAGGTCAGTAACATGACCCTCCGGGTAGAGAGTCTTGTCAGCTCCTCTGGGCGGAGAATCTTGTCAGCAGGATGGGCTGTGAAGCCTCCTGCAGATGAGCCGGTAATAATCTCTGACTCATATCTGCAGATAACAATTTTCTTAAAGGTGTCTGTTGAGTGATAAGAGCACACAGAGAGACAGAGTCAGAGAGCAACATAGTGAGAAGCATAAAATCACAACCCTGGAACTGAAAGGTCCTCGAGAGATCACCCATCTCATGGCTGGATAATCTGGGGAAACTGAGATTTGGGCTATATAGAAAGGGCCAGAATCCAGGGTGGTTTGCTCCCTAAACATCTCTCAGTTCCATTCTTTCCTGTCCCTTCTTCGACTCCAGCCCACAGGGATACAACAATACCCACTAGCTGATCTTTCAATCCATTGTCTGTCACAGAGGGCCCTGTGAGCCAGGTTGAAGAATTTGGACTTCAGTTTGGGGTAGTGAGACATCATGAAAGAATTTTTAGGCAGGAGACCAATAAGGTCAGAGCTGAATTTCAGTTGGTAGTGTTAGTTTTTAGATTTTAGTCATCACTGAGAATGTGTAGTAATAGTATTTGTGAGTTTCCTGTGGCATTTCCATAATGATTAATAATATAGAACACCTTTCCACTTGCTTTGGCAATTCATATAAATTAGATATAACTTTAGCCGGGTGCAGTGGTGCAGGCCTGCAATCCCAGTGGCTCCGGAGGCTGAGGCAAGAGGATCATAGTTCAAGGCCAGCCTCAGCAATTTAGTGATACCCTAAGCAACTCAGTGAGACCCTGTCTATTAATAAAATACAAAAAAAGGTGTGTGTGTGTGTGTAGGGGTGCTGGGGATGTGGCTCAGTGGTTAAGTGCCCCTGGGTTCAATCCCTGGTACCAAGCAGGGATTGCTACATTGTGGAATTGCTACAGGCATCAAATAAACACACAAATAAAAAAACTAGACATAACTTTAAGGCAATCATTTCTGCTGTTTGAAATATCTAAGATCTGTTTATTGACTCATTTCAGTTTAAAAATATTCAGTGATCCGTTACTCTGTGTCAATCCCTGTGAGATCTGATGTACCCAAGATGATGAAGAGCTAGCCCTGGCCTTGATCCGTTTGCAGACTTGTTTGGGGTGACAGATACTTAAAAAAGAAAAATTTCTCTCTCAAGGTGTTGGTGCTCAATAGAACTAAGCCCAAGGTACAGAGAGGAATGAGGAGGAGCACTCTCCCCAGCAGGGTGACAGTGGCTGGTAGAGGTTGGGGAGTATTCAGAGGTACTTCCACCCTGGCTCTGACTGTGACATCACAGAGCTGTGGACATGAGGTCATTCATTCTTCACACACTCACTGAACTCTTTCTGTGGTCCAGACCTGTGCTGACCCAGAAGGCAACCATGAACCACGCAGACCTGTCCCTGTCTAAAGGATCCTACTTGAGAGCTACAAGTTCACTTCCTTTCCTCATGGCAAGTGTGCTGGGCATGGTGGTGCACACCTGTAATCAGTTCAGGAGGCTGAGGCAGGAGGATCACGAGTTCAAAGCCAGCTTCAGCAATGGTGAGGCACTAAGCAACTCAGTGAGACCCTGTGTCTAAATAAAATACAAAAAATAGGGCTGGGGATATGGCTCAGTGGTCAAGTGCCTGAGTTCAATCCCCAGTACCCAAAACAACAACAACAACAAAAACTATCATTTCTGCTGTTTGAAACGTCTAAGATTTGCTAAGTGATTAGAAAACATCAAAACAGATTTATGCTAATTGTAAAGGTTATGTAAGTTTCCATTGATTCTTCATTATGATGGCTTCATTTGATACATATGTATTTACTGCGTACTTGGTTATTTCCAGTGGTTACTTCACTCAGTCCACATGATTGGTGAGAGAGGTTGGGCTTGCTACTGTCTGAAAGTGAGAGACCTGCGGGGGTCGTGACTCAGTGGTAGAGCACTTGCCTAGCACATATGAGGCACTGGGTTCGATTCTCAGCACTACATTAAATTAATTAATTAATTAATTAATTAAAGGTATTGAGTCCATCTACAACTAAAAAAAAAAGAAAAAGAAAGTGAGAGTCAGTATACCAGAAATACGGCCCAAAGCAGTTTAAAAGTAGAACCATTCTTTGAATCTGTATCTTGGGACTGTTGCTACTTTGAATAGAATTTGAGTACAATTGGCATATTTTTTGTATGATTTTAGGATTAAAGTACTGATGATAATCAGTTAAAATTAAGGTCCCAGGGCCAGGCGTTTCCAAATATCTTCCCAAATCCCTCATTCAGCCTGGGAGGCTAGCTTGAGGCCAGTGGCATGGGCGGCACAGTGAGGCTGAACCAAGTCCAGGTTTTCTGACCCGGCACTGTTGCTTGGTGAGAATGCGGCCTCTGGTTGCTCACTAACTTGCACGATCATCCCTGTTCACCTATTCAGTCCACAGACATTTGGCACAGTGAGTACTGCTGTAGGCCCAGGTGAGGGTTTCTGGGAGAAGACACTCCAGAGCTCTGAGCTCAAATCTCAGCTCTGCCTCTTCCAAGCTGAATGACTTGGCAAGCAGTTTAAACTCTTAAAGTATCATATCCTTATCTGTGAAATGGAGCTAATAACAGAATTGACATTGTAAAATTGCTACAGGCATCAAAGAACAAATGCATGGAGGGGCTGGGGTTGTAGTAGAGTGCTCGCCTAGCATGCATGAGGCACTGGGTTCGATCCTCAGCACCATATAAATGTAAAATAAGGATATTGTATTCATCTAAAAAACCTTAAGAATAAATATTAAAAAAAAAAAAAAAGAACAAATGCATGGAAAACCTTCCCCTCCGGCTCAGGATTTTGCTATTTATTGAATAAAGGAAGGAATGCAAACACTTACTTCCCTGCTGGGCCCATAATAGCACTGGACAAATTACATAATGACCAGTTTTTCTATTTAATAATTGCACTTAAATTATTTTTATGAAGATCAAATTAAAGTAAATTTTGGTAGGGAACATTTTCTCTAAAATCTGAACTCAAATACAATGTTTTTATCTTTTTATTCCCATTTGGAAATTGCATTACGATGATTTATTAATAAGAACTTGTAGTCAGCATTAAGGAAATCCTAAAGGTAAATTCTTATATAAAGCTGACCACTCAAACCCACTGACAGTTTTATTTCTTCACATTGCTTTCCAACATTTAACCAGACTTTTGTGTTACCCTTCCTTCCTTCCTTCCTTCCTTCCTTCCTTCCTTTCTTCCTTCCTTCCTTCCTCTCCTCCTCCTCCTCCTTCTTTTTCTTTTCTTTTTTTTTTTGGTATTGGGGATAGACCCCAGGGACACTTTCATCACTGAGCAACATCTCCAGCCCTTTTTATTTATTATTTTGAGACAGGGTCTTGGTAAGTTGCTTTAGAGTCTCACTAAGTTACTGAAGCTGGCCTTGAACTTGTGATCCTCATGCTTTAGCCTCCCTAGTCCTTGGTATTTACAGGTATGTGCCACTATGCCCAACTTGTGTTACTCTTCTTTTTAAAAATTTATTATTTTACTTCAATTATTCAATAAATTAAGTTGCTGCATTAACTGTATGCTTGGGATTTCTAATGGTTCCATATGATTTTACTCAGTGAAATCCATCAGTAACATGGAAACTTAACTCATGAAGGAAATCGCGTCACATTCTCATCCATCCCTCAGTATGCTCAGGCTATTGATTCCAGGGCCCATTGAGGGTACCAAAATCCAAAGATGCTCAAATTCCTCTTATAAAATGACACTGTGTTTGCATATACCCTATGCACATCTTCTCATATACTTTAAATCACGTCTTGATTACTTATGATACCCAGTACGATGTTAAAACTATGTAGGTAGTTGTTGTACTGTATGGTCAAGGGAATCATGATAAGAAAAAAGTCTGTATGTGTTCCATACATGTACAATTTTTCCCCTGAATATTTCCTGACATTTTCAATCCATAGTTGGTTGAATCCCTGGAAGGTTGAATCTGGGAATAGGGAACCTGTGGATACAGAATCTGTAGCTCCCGAGGTCCAGCTATATCTTAGATAATCCACAAAATCACTAAATATTTACTATGAGGCCTTTGAGCATCAGCACAATTCTATAAGGTAAGTACTAAAATCATCCCGTTTTACAGATGAAGCAACTAAGGCTCAGATTACTCTATTAACTTGCCAAAATTCATACAGCCAGTCCTTTACTTATCTAAGGCTCTATAACAAATTGCTCCCCAAAAATAGTGGCTTCAAAGCTGCAACAACCACTTACTTCTTCATGATCCCACAATTTGGACAGGCTTGGTGGAGCTGGCTCGTCTCTGCTGCCCAGGGTTCCAACCTGTGTATTTGTATCGTGGCTGGAGGATCCAAGACGGTTCACTCGATGCCTGGTGCCTCAGCAAGGGAGGCTGAAATGGCCCAGGGCTGGCTGGGTTTCTGTCCCTGTGCGGTTTCTCATCTTCCAGGTTTTTTTTTCTTTTCCTTCCATGTGTTCGGTGTGCAGCAGATTAGCTGGATTTCTTTCCATGGTGGCTGGCTTCCTAGAGAGCAAAATCAGAACTTCCCAGGCATCCTAAAAACCAGCCCGAGAATTGGCACAACATCCTTTCTGCTGCATCCTTTTGGTCAAAGTCCAGAGGGAAATAGACCCCTACCCTTGGTGCCAGGAGGATGGATGGGACTGGAGGCTGACACCCTCCCACTGGCAGAATGGGGCTCCAACACCTGATTGACACAGGGCTCTGAACTCAGTCCTCCTGCCCACTCACCTCAGAGAGCATTTTTGCCTAGTTAGCGCTCTCTCTTCTTTTCCCTCATTCTTTGGGGTGAATTCCTAAGAACAGGGAGACCTGGTCAAAGGGCAGGGACGCTGTTGGGCTGGTGCTGAGATAAGACTTCTGTAGAGCAAACCCTCTGTAAGTACTGAGTTAGCTAAGTCTTTTTTTCACCTTGTCCTTCCTCTTTACAAAGGAGATGTGGGTTTAATTTTATTCATTCTATTGTTGCCTCTGCTGTAGTGGAGGGAATCTTGGCTCCTGCTATGAACAGCCTCTTCACGACTTCTGGGCAACAATAAAGTCAGCAAAGAGGCGTGATGTTCAGCCGCTCCAAGGGCTATGCAGGACAGTGCTCCCTGTGGATCAGGCGCACGTGGGGAAAGTAATTTGCTGAACTTGACTTTTCTCAGAACTCGGGATATAGTGGAAGGAATGCAGTGGCTTAGACTTGCCAGTGTGCAGTCCTCCTTCTGAAATGTAAGCACATGTCTTTGCTTGCTGTCCCTCCTTATACCTGTCATCCCACGTCTTGTCTAGTTTAGTATTTGTCCAGAGCAAAAGCCTCCTTGTGTAGGATAATAAATTATATGATCGTTCTCACTGTCTCTGGAACTTGGGCAAGTCATTTCTCCCAGAGTGTCAGTTTCCTCATCTGTACAACTGGCCTGGCTCTCTGCTTCCTAGAGATGTGGATGACTCTTCATTAACGGCATTTCAATGAGGCAACAGTTGTCTTGGGCCTTGGTGGGTACCATAGGATATAAAGGTTCCCGATCCTCCTCCTTCTCTGGTCTTACAAGTAAATAAATAACCAGGATCATTTGAGATACTTAATTTATATCAGGTTGCCAGGTAAGGCCTCTCGGAAATGAGACTTGGAAAAGGCATGAGGATGAGAGCAGGCTAGAGGGGAGCTGAGGGAGAGCATCTGAGGTCAAGGAAACAGCAGGTGCAAAGGCCAAGAGGCAGCAGAAAATTCACTGTAAATAACAGAATGGAGGTCAGGTGCGGTGGTACACACCTATCATCCCAGTGGCTCAGGAGGCTGAGGCAGGAGAAGCACGAGTTCAAAGCCAGCCTCAGCAAAAGCAAGGCAGCAAGCAACTCAGTGAGACCCTGTCTCTAATATATATATAAAATAGGACTGGGGATGTGGCTCAGTGGTTGAGTGCCCCTGAGTTCAATCCCCAAGAACCCTTACCAAAAAAAAAAAGAAACAGAATGGATTTTATGAATAGCGTTATGCTCTTTAACTGTGAAGAGCCCTGTGTTAATTATCCTACTAGAGGGCTTTAAAATGCTTGCACCTCCTTTATCTTAAATGATCCTCAAAATAACTGCAAAAAGATAGGGGACATAGGGCATATTAGTATTATTAATCCTGCTATGGAACAAGAAACATTTTTTTGGGGGGGGTACTGGTGATTGAACCCAGGGTACTCAACCATTGAGCAATATCTTCAGCCCTTATATTTTATTTAGAGACATGGTCTCACTAAATTGCTGAGGCTGGCTTTGAACTAGAGATCCTCCTGCCTCAGCTTCCCAAGCCACTGAGATTACAGGCATGTGACACTGTGCCTGGGTGGAACAAAAAATTCTTATGAATTGTCCATGCATATTTTTCCAAAATGGTCCCACTGTACTTTTATACTTAAATTTAACTTGATATATCTCCATTATCTTTTATTGCATTTGGTGATTGGAATCTTTTGGGAACCAGAGACATCTTTATACATATCTTTCTATTATGATATTTAATTCTGCCATTAAATTCTCATGTGCACTGTTTTGGGATCCATATTTGTAAGATATATTGGTTTATAGTTCTTTTTTCTTGTGGTGTTTTTGTCTAGTTTTGGTAACAAAGCAAATACTGCCTTCAGAGAATGAGGTAGCAAATGTTCCCTCCTCTTTGACTTTTTTGGATGAGGTTGTAAAGAGTTGGTATTAATTTTGTAAATGTTTGATAGATTCCCAGTGGAGCCATCTGGGTCTGGGTTTTTCTTTGTGGTTGTGTTCTGATTACTAGTTCAAGCTCTTGTTTAAGGCCTATTCAGAGTTTCTGTTTCTACTTGAGTAAGTTAGAATAGTCTGTATTTTTGTAAGAATCTGTCCATTTTTTCTGGGTTTTCTAAATTATTGCTATGAACCTTTCTATTTCAATAAGATCAGTAATTATGTCCCCTCTCCTATTTCTTATTTTAGCAATATGAGTCTCCTCTTTCTTCTTCACTAAAGTTTTGTTTGTGGTACTGGAGATTTTACCACAAACTACATCCCCAACCCTTTAATTTTTTTTTTAAACTTTTGAGATATGGTCTTGCTAAGTTGCTTGGGGCCTTGTTAAATTGCTGAGGCCAGCCTCTCCTGGCCATCCTCTTGCCTTAGCCTCCCAAATTGCTGGGATTACAGATATGTGTCACCATCCCCAGCACAGACTAAATTTGTATTGATCTGGTTGATCTGTTCAAAGGAGCAATTATTGGTTTTATTGGTTAATGTTGGCTCAAATTTTTATTATTTCCTTCCTTTTCTCACTTTAGGTTGAGTTTGCTCTTCTTCTGGTGTCTTAAGATGGAGGGTTACATTATCAACCTGAGATCTTTCTTCTTCTTTAATATAAGCATTTCAGGATACACATTTTCTCCTGTCATGTACACTATTGGAATGTGTGTGGGGGTCTTATTATATACCCTCACCATTTACCTTGAAGGGGCTGGAGTGAGACAGCCAGGTACAGATGCAGGGAGCCATGGCTGAACCTGGTACTGCTACTGGCTGAATGGCCTCTGGTGAGTCCTGGTCCTCTTCAGTCTTAGCTGGTCTTATCTTTAAATGAAGAGGCTGTACTGAAGCATTTCCAGGAGCTTTGCAGTCAAGCTGGCTTGGAGGGAGCTCCCATCCAGCTCTTCTCTATCTTTGGAGTGGACATCTGCTGTTTCTGCTGGCTCAGCACCTTTCTCCTCCTCTGGCAAAGGCAACTGCTTTCTCTTTGGGGAGATACCCACCTCCTACATTATATACAGACTTTTTTTTTTTTTTTTTTTTTTGCCGTGGGCCACTCTGATCTCTCTGGTAGTTTATTTTTTATTTGTTCTTATTTTGGGTTGGGGGTACTGGGGATTGAACTCAGGGGCACTCGACCACTGAGCCACATCCCTGGCTCTATGTTGTATTTTATGTAGAGACAGAGTCTCACTGAGTTTTCAGCACCTCACTGTTGCTAAGGCTGGCTTTGAACTTGTGATCTTCCTGCCTCAGCCTCTTGAGCAGCTGAGATTACAGGTATTTGTTATTTTTAGTTTTATATGACAGTAGAATGTATTTTGACATACACAAATGTATTTTGACATATACATGGAGTATAACTTCCCATTCTTGTGGTTGTCCATAATGTGGAGTTATACTGGTCGTGTGTTCATATATGGACACAGGAAGGTTATATCAGGTTCATTCTACTGTCTTCCCCCTCTGGTAGTTTATGAGAACCTATGGACTCTCTTTAGATTGATGTTTTTGAAAGTGTAATATATATGGCATATGGTCTAAAAGAAAGCAATTGTCAAATTATTAAATATCAAATTCTTAGCCATGAAATTGATAGAACGAAAAATTTATATATAAAAATCTATGTAATTCTTTACTAACACATTAACACATTAAATCTAGTTGGTCTAATGATATTTTGAGAGATCTGTAACAACTGCAATGCAATATGAAATATCTGTGATTTCTATTAATGACAAAGTTATATGTACTTTCTTTCTCTGGTGTTAGGAATAAAACTTAGAGTCTTGCGTATGCTAAGCACACACTCTACCACTGAGCTATATTCTCAGACCAAAGATATGGGTATTTTTTTTAAAAAAATTATTTTTTAGCTATAGGTGGACACAATATCTTTATTTTATTTTTTTAATGTGGTGCTGAGGATCGAACCCAGTGCATCATGCATGCTAGGTGAGCACTCTACCTCTGAGCCACAAACCCAGCCCAGATATGGTTATATTTAATACTATTGTAACTTGCTGACCACAATCATAACAGAAGGAAATGCTAAGTTTCAGTTAGAAATTAGTAAAAAGAGATATAATTTTTTTTTCTCATCCAAATTAATGGTTCCATGGGGCTGAGGATGTGGCTCAAGTGGTAGCGCGCTCTTCTGGCATGCGTGCGGCCCGGGTTCGATCCTCAGCACCACATACAAACAAAGCTGTTGTGTCCGCCGAAAACTAAAAAAAAGTAAATATTAAAAAAAAATTTAAAAAAACCCCACAAATTCCTTAAGAATCCCTGGTTTCAGGGATTTATATGGAGCTGCTTCACTCCTGCATCCAGAAGTAGGCACATCACCCAATATTGGCCAATTAGAGCCCAGACCAGCCAAGGGATGAGCATTTGTACCAAATGGATGCAGAGTGAATCGAAGATTTTGCTGGATGCCCATGAGGGCTCTTTCTGTGGACCTTGCTGAGAGGGTGGGGCGTGGGTCGGGAACACATCACCTTGCCATCGGCAGGAGAGCATCTGCCTCCAGATGAAAGCTAGCGCGGAGGACAGCAGAGCTGGAAGTGAGCATCCACCTCTTCCTGACAACACTCCTCCCTCTTCATGTGCTCACTAGGAGAGCCAATATGTTATCTGTTAAAGCCAGTTTGAGCAGAGGTTTCTGTTTATTGCAATCAGAAGAGTCACAACTCGCATGGTTCCACAAAGCTTAGCAGAGAGCCTGGTACAAAGTAGGCTGCTCATGAAGGAATGATGAATGAATTTCAAACAAGGCAGCAACATGATTAATGTTCTTCACTGAAAACATACATGCAGATCTGGCTTCATTGTGTATTCAAAGATGAAGACTCAAAGCAAGTATTCCAAAGATTTTTGTTAGCTGAATGAATCCATTGTCATTATTTTCTGAGTAAACTCTGCATATTTTTCCTTTTTTTAATAATAATTTTTTAATTTGTTCTTTTTAGATATACATGACAGTAGAGTATATTTTGACATATTACCTATACATGGAATATAACTTACTCTAATTAGGGTCCTGGTGTTGTGGTTATATATGATGTGGAGATTCACTGTGGTCTATGCATATATGAACATACAAAAGTTATGTCTGATTCATCTCACTATCTTTTCTATTCCCATCCCCACTCCCTTCCCTTCATTTCACCTTT